AAACCTGTTACATGTTCACAAACATGACCAAGTGGTTAGATTACCAAAATGGTCAGATTACCAAGTCGGATTATTTGACTTGAGTGACTTAAGTGGTTAAATTACCAAAATGGCTTTAATTTGTCAGAATTCCATACATAAAGCACAGGTAATTGAGATATTTTCCAATAAAATAGCTGGGGAGGCACTCACGTGAAACGAGTTTTAAAAGGTGACAACTTTGTTGGTAAATGACTTGATGTTAGAAGTTTGTTTACTTATTAATTCATTCAACTCATAGATTAACTTTGATAAAAGAATTTTTTTAATTGTATCCGTTGTGCACTGGATAAAAAATATTGTCTCAAAATTGACTAGAGACCATCTAAATTTTAGATGGTGATTAAGTGTTAACGACTCAAATTTCAATTTTTTTTTTTAAAAAAAATAACGCCTTCTTAAGCAGTTCTCAAAATTTCAGATTTAAAAAAATCTTCTTAAGCAGTTCTCAAAATTTCAGATTGAAAAAAATATTCCCAACCAGGTCTTCTGAGCTAGGGAGTAAAAGTAAATTATGCTCCCAAGGGAGCATAGTAAAAATGATTGTACGAGACTACGAGTTGACGGGCTGGACGGCTAAGATTACATGAGAAGAGAAACAAACAGACCAGATTTGCGTGTTAACGAAATTAGGGTTTTGAGAAAAAGTAGGTCTGAGAAGGACCAAAATTCCCAAGATCTCATTTAGGTGCTAAATGGTGGGGAGCGTATATGCTATGCTCCTGCCAGAGCACACTATCTGTCTACTCTGGCAGGCAGGAGGCCTACTTCGGAGGATTTTTTTAGTCTACAATTTTATTAAACTACTTGAAAATCACAAAAGAGACTTTTTCAAACTTAAATTTTAAAATACGTAAATCTCATTTTTACAAATTTTCGACAATGTCAATTCAATCTTGAGATTTTTTTTTGTTTTTAGTGTATAGAAATTGTGATTTGGAATTTTTCTTTTTTGATGTCCGGTCTATGCATTGACAAGGTTACATCACCAAATTTTGGTATTCTAAAATCACTCTAGATTCGGTTTTAGTCAAGGGAATAAATTGACATTATGAGCGAAAGCATGAAATCTTTTGGCAATGATAAGTTTACCCATTTTCTTCACTTAGTGCTTAATTGTTGTGCTTCATAAATAAATAAAATTTGACCCAATTATAATTAAAAATGGACGAAAATTATTAATACCTCTTCCCATCTAATCGTTTGTGTGCCAAGATTTTGAAATTAATCTACCAATCAAGAGGCGTTTTTTTTTAAAAAAAAAAAAAGAGAGAGAGAAAAGAACTAAATCAAAAGGAAATAATTATTTTTATCAATAAATCAAATTTTCATTAAAAATAATGGAAAATTTGTACTCATGGCATCACACGATGGAAAATTTCTACTATGGAAAATTTTTGCAATATCTCGCCACATGTTTTAGGGGGAATACGGGTAAGGACTGTTTAATATCTTTGTATGTGTCTTAGTAGATGAGGGTAAGGACTGGTTAGTATCTTTGTACGTGTCATAGTAGATGAGGGAGTATTGGTTTACAAATATCTAAATGAATAAAATAAAATAAAAAATAGACCATTTATCACCATCATCAAAGTTTTTTTTTAATTATTTGGGGTCAGCTACATGAATCATGGTTTACTATTTACAGTTCACGAAAAGTTTTAACAAAATTCTACATTGACTCTCTACCTAACAACCCACTTTCTTTATTTGGGCTTGGGATGGGTTAAGGGAAAACTTAAGGTGCTCACCATATGTTGTAGGAGGAATATGGGTAACGACTCTTTAATATCTTCGTATATGTCTTAGTAGATGAGGGAGTGTTGGTCTACAAATATATAAAAGAATAAATAAAAAAATAAAAAAAAACTATTTATCAATATCATCAAATCTTTTTTCTAATTATTTGAAGTTGGCTACATGAATCTTAGTCTACCATTCAGGATTCATGAAAGTTTGAAAAAAAGTGTACATTGGCTGTCTACATCACATAACCCACTTCCTTTCCTCGGGCTTGGGACGGGTTAAAGGAAAATTTAAAATCCTCTCCCATCTTTATCAAGTTATATGTTGGTTTTTACTACCTTTTTGTTTTTTCTCTTTCTTTTTTTTTTTGTGTGTGTGGAGGGCATGGGCATGGGCATGGGGAAGCAGTGGTGGGGCGTGGGGGTTAAAAATATATAATTATGAAAAATGGGTAAAAAGGTTGACAGAAATGTTGTACATTGATGAGTTGATTTTTTTACAAATCAGTTCAAGGAGTTCCGAATCATACCTGAGCCAGCCTATTCATTATTACAATGAAAAATAAAAAAGACCCACCCTGAGCTAGGCTGCTTTGGTAAAAATGTTGTGCTTTTCTTAGTAAACTAAGCTTAGGGTTGAACCTCCGTCGGATATTGATCCCTACCCACTCAAGAGACTGATTGATCCCCACCCCACTAAGCAAAAAAGATTCGTAAATATCCCAAGGAAAGACTTTGAGTATCTTAACATGCCAAAAGTAATAAATTTAAATAGACCCAACTAACCTTGTTTAATGCCTGGTATTGGACACTTGTGCTCCCTATTGTCCTTTTTTACATAAATGTTTGGTACGCATCTTTTTTTCATTGTTCTCTTTGTATTACTCTTTTTCTTTTTGTTGGGGTGGATTCACTGTTCTCTTTGTATTACTCTTTTTCTTTTTGTTGGGGTGGAGGGGTAGGGGTGTTGAATCTAAAAAATGTTGCAACCATAGGAGCTTTTTCAGTCCCTTGGTGATTGCTAAACCAAGAAGTAAGTGGTTGACTAAACCAACAAATCCAAGAGTAAAATAACCATTTCTTGTTTATTTAATTTCTATGGGTACTGGGGATCACAATTATTTTGCCCTTTTAAATTTCAAAATAGGTGGTTATAAGAGCGTCATTAAGTGGACACAAAGTTCCAAAAAAAAAATTTCTAAAAAATTTCTCGAGTTTTTTCTCACCTCAAATCATTCAATTTGACATCTAATAATTGTAATCTCTATGTACAAAAGATTAATGATATCTATATACTATACAGCCATTTATCTTTGATACATGGTCACAATTATCTTTATCAGGCAGCCGGGGTGTGCCACTAACCATGATTCAAGTTTAAAATAATATTTCTCGAACTTTATAACACTCCAAGCTATCAGTTTTAACATAAGATGGCTAGAGTGATTGTAACCTACACAATCCAAAAGGAAATGCGGTATAAAGTAAAGAATTTAGTTTCATGTACAATTCTAAGGACCAAACCAGAAATCAAATACTCCCACAACATCTCAAAACGGGTTACTACCAAGAGTGGGGCAATTTGAACCGTCTTTTTTTGGGTTAATTATGAGGAAGGACCAAGAAAGGTACAATTTTGATTTTTCTCTTTTTCTTTTGGTAGTTTGTAAGGATCTCGCCAAGGAAAAATAGATCAGCCGAACAGCATGGATTCTTATAAGAGATTGTCTTATCTTTTATATATATAGGTCACAACCATTCCCACTCATTATATGTCAAATTGGATGGTTTGAAGTGAGTCACGAAGTCTAAATTTATTAAATGTGTCTATTCAATAACACTCTTGCAACTACCCATTTTGAAATTTAAAGGACAAAAATGATTTTGACTTCCTTGTACAAAAAATAAACAGTCCTTTTTGTAAACGATCCCTTCTTATGATATGATATATCAGTAGTTTTCGCAAGATTTTCACTTTTCACCACTTTTATGAGGTTTGTTCCTTCTCTCTCTTACAATCAACAACACCTAGACCAATCAAGCTCAAGCCTATACAGGTCATCCATCTGCTTTCTTAAGAACTAATTTGTTGGTGTGCAATCTCTCTCTCTAGATATTTTCACATAATGACTCGTTACCCCATAGCCATGCATCATTTCAATAGTTACATCCATCTAAGAGTAACATCAGCATAAAAGAATGGTGCCCTCAGTTCAACCGCAAGCATAGACCAATCTACTTTTTGGGCACTTCATTTTTTAATTTGGGAAGAAAAATCCAAGGAACTTTGGCCACAGAAACTAATAAAAATTCATCCAGAGCTCCAATAGAACACCTCTCAGACATACTTAATTCACTTAAAAGTTGTTCGATAAGATTTTAGATCCATGGACTCCTGCTATTTAATAAGTACATTTAAATTTACTGCCAAGATCACGACCCCTCCCAAAAGATTAGGTCTCATTTAATTACTTCCTATGATCCTAGGAAATCTGAAATATCCAAGCACACCCCATCTGCCATTTTAAACATTAAACATGGATAACCCATTGAATTTAATTTTTTTTTCTTTACTTGTTTTCATTGAATTTAATAATATAAACTATAGGTTTTATTGAGTGTTTTAAAACCCAGCGAATCCCAATCCGGATCCCCAATTTGGATGTAGAGTTAATCGGAACCGAACCGGTTCTAAGATAGTATGGGTCCTGATCTAGTCCCCACCTAAAACCCCCACTCTATACTTTTTGCTTTTCTTTTTAAGCTTATCCAATGTCTTCTTAAGTCCACCCTAAATTCTCCATCCCATAAATCTTTATTTTAAATTTTTATTCTATTTAATTTTCGGAATCACCGATTCGGACCTATCCAAACCAATCCGGATTGCTGATCCAGTGATCCAAAACGGATCTGTGGGGTGAACGACCCATTGCACGGATTCAGGTCTTGAAACACTAGTTCTATTTAACATAGTAAAAGTTTGCTGTCATTTCCACCACTAGACTAATCGTCCGGTACTTGCTGACAATTCCTCCCCATTCTTCTCTACATGGAACCTCACTAAATATAGCCTCCAACATTACAACCTCTAAACTGTATCTCCATCTTCTTGGAAAGAGAAAAAACAAAAAGTTAAAAAACTTCTCCAAAGGAAGAAGTCAAATGAAGTCCAGAAGTCATACGTGAGAGAAAGCTACACCATCCACCTCCAAAATAGAACTAACAAGTAGTGAAAAGTAATATTCAGAAAGAAATTTCTTGTCTTCAATTGCTTCTTTCTCTGCTTCTCTAAATAAGGTGAGTCACTAGTTTTAAATCTCAAAAGAGAAACCCTTTATCACAATCGAGAAGACACTTTTATTGGTTCCAGTATGGATCAGAATGGATGATTTGCACCGAAAAAAAACATTTCTGCTGGCAAAAATGTATTGTTTCCAAGAACAGGACCTTGACATGGCTAATAGAGAGCTCATGAAGAGCTAGAAGAAAATCCCAAGGCATCCCCATAGGAGACAAATAGAAATGAAGAGAAGAAAGACTGACCCATCACACACTTTCAGTGTCACTTCAGTTTTGAGAAGAGCTTCGATGCAACCTGCATTAATAATTCAGAAGAAAAAATATTCACTATATTGAATCAATTATTATATTCCCATTTTCCTCGTATGTTTCTGATAAATGTTATCAAACAGATTTTAAACTTGGTCTAGAGAACTTTCAATTTTGGATCAGTGGCCAAAAGAAATTCTGAAAATATAACAAGATATCTTCTTTTAGTTCACAAGGAATGGGTAACTAGATTAGAAATTAGGGAATCAAATTTCACACAATTAATTCTCAGAAAAAAAAAAAGATGAGCCAATTTTATCAATTGAATACTAAGAAAGATGGCCAAAATAAAGCAGATATTCACTAATTTTTGGCATCAGTTTAAGTATACATGGGTCCAATGGATTATTACATATAGTAGCTGCGTCCATTCATCTGACCCATGATGGATGGCTGGAGAATAACAAGAGTGGGCACAGGAACATTCACCAGACCATCTGTCAGTCCGAGCTGATGGGTAGAGATTAACAATACCATATACCGTACTTCATTAGACAATAATATACTCTTTTTCTTCTTGATCAGTTATTGTGGACTATACTTTTGCTTGGGACAATTAAGCAAATCGTACGAGAACTCTTCAAAAATTGATTCCACGATTTATGAGTGATCAGTAACTTACACATTTATCGACACAAGACCAGTAGTCAAAGTACTGTCCAGTGCAGTGCTTGTGCCCAGTTTCATCTCCTTGAATCCTCTTAACACATGCCTAATGATGTCCCAAAGGGTGCATACCAAATTTCGGGGAGCCAAAATATCCAAAGAGTTGAGCAATAACAAAACCATAAAAAATACATCATTGAAATGCCAAAAAAGAAAAATAGGGGGAAAAAGAAAAAGATAGAAAGAAGAAGGAACAGTTTTTAAAGAATCCCAGGTACAAGATTGTTGAAGGTTTACCTGATACTCAAGTAAGGGCTTCACACATTTTGGCTTGCAAGATTCCTCGAGATATTGCTTCGGATCAACCAATTCCTCATCCGCCCTAAATTTAATGAAAGAGTTAAGCTAATAAAATAATTACATCCAGATATAAAAGTACTAAAAACTTTCACCTGGAGTTATGGAGCTCACTATATGAGAATTAATCATTAGCAAATGAAGTACATGTAAGAAGACAAAAGTTCAGAAGCCATTCGCTAAAATTTATTAACCTGAGTAGCAAACATAAGACAGATTATCATAAATTCTTTCCAACAAGTAGCTCACCCTTTTTTCTTTTTTTTTGGCCTTTTCTTTTGTTGTTTATAGCTTACCAAATGTTGCAATAGAAACATAAATCTACTTTGGCCTTTATTGGAACTCCCATAAAGTCACAACTGATAGAGGCAATCGTTATCAATTGGCCTTTTCTTTTGTTGTTTATAGCTTACCAAATGTTGCAATAGAAACATAAATCTACTTTGGCCTTTATTGGAACTCCCATAAAGTCACAACTGATAGAGGCAATCGTTATCAATTGCTATAGTGCATTTTTTTTTTGAATTGTTTATCTGGTCATGATGAACATAACTACAAAATTCAGGAACAAGAAAATTCCCCTAAGGCCTCAATGTAAGACCTTTTCTTTTTCCTTGAGCAGAATAGCTTGTATTCCCTACATTTTCTCTTGTAAAAAACAATTTGTTGGGTTTTTTTCGTGATTTTTTTCTAATACTGTTCGCCTCAATGCGTATGGGTCAAAATATGAGTTCAAACAACCCATGTTAGGAATCCATGCCCTTAAAAGTCTGAGGTCATACGATTTATAGAAAAAATTAAGAATTAATAGTGCATACTCCCTGGCCATCAAATTGGCCTAGCATTTGATTGGCTCATATTCTTCTATTGGCTAGTGGGTAAACAAAATCTCACACACACACACACACACAGGGTTTTTCTCTGGTTAACATGATTCAAAATCCTATACTTTAGACTTAGAGAGGCGATTGAAACAAGCCTTTTACTATATATGCCTTACCTTTTTTAGCCAGTACCCTTTTGCAAAGCACTTTTGTCATTTCAAAGGGTAAAGTGATAGTTTCACTAAGACGAGTAATTATGGACTGAAACTCTAGGCATTGTAATAGTGTAAATTATAGCTACCCGAATCGCCCACGGGTGTAGCGATTCTATGTCGGAATCTCGATTCGGCATTTCCTAGGACAAAACTCGATTATAAAATAAAAGAATCATGTTTCCAAGTTTTTTGAAACACGATTCCATTTAGTTTAGGAATCTCGGTTCCTCGAAGCCTGGAATCAAGATTCCATATCGAAGACTATGATTCTTAGCTACACAAGAATGTGATTCTACTCGGGTGAAATAATGATTCCAAAGTTTTTGGAATTGCGAATCCATGTTGTTTGGAATCAAGATTTCATATCACGGACATCGTGATTCTTAGCTACACAACAATGCGATTCTACTTGTGCTAAACGTTGATTCTAAATTTTAAGGAATTGTGAATCCATGTTGTCAGGAAACAAGTTCCACATCATGAAAACAAGTGGTTGGCAAATGCACTGAACAGTATTTCAATCAACATCAAATCAAGTTCTGATGACACAGATTCAAGATTCAAACACAAAAGATGAGTGAAATGCATTCATAATTTGCATGCTGTCGGAGGAGCTCTATGAATCAATTCTATGTTACCGGAGGAGTTCCAGGAACCGATTTGTATCATGTTACAATTTTCTACAAAGTTAAAATCTTAAAATTAAATTCCCGAGAACCGATGTTGTGAAAGCCAAAAAAAAACCGTACAAATTTATGGCATGAATCTATGTACAATAATCTCAGCCATGTTACCCAACGAATTTATCCATCTATAAATCATGTAGTGGGTGGCAGCCCCACCTCAAGTAGGATGCTCATATACGGTGCTTGTAATAACCAAATGCCTATCAATACTATTTACCATTTAATGTATTAAGTAAAGGACTCAATGGGGCATGTTTGGTAGATCAATAAAATGCTTATTTGTGATCATCCACAGTACTAAGTTCTGAGGAATGATCATTATTTCTACTATAAAGAGTAATGATCTTAGGGTCCCTCGCACATGGTAGTATTGTGATATTTTTTACATTAGCTCTTTCTATACTTGTGCCCCGACCAGCTCTCTTTAAAAAAAAAGGCTTGATGACCGCCCAAAGTCTCTCTCTCTCTCTCTCTCTCTCTCTCTCTTGCTCACCCCTCTCTAACTAAAACTTCTCCCTCATTTTCCCCGTTACTTTCTTTCTCTTTCTCTGCATTCGTAAAATCAATTACATTAGCAAATGGCATCTCAAAAACACTATCACAAGTTCCTAAGGATAGGAGATAGAGGGAGCTCACCCTTGTTCTCACTAGTTGTATGTCATAGACCAGCTCCAGACCTTGTATGCGTAGGGTTGTTAGTAAATTGAGTCCATTTTAAAGGATTGTTGACAAAGATATCATAAAAGTTGACCTTGGTAATTGGACTAAATATATACATACCAAAATTCAATCTTCTAATAATGAGAAAAAACTACATATTTTCTGAATACTTTTCTCATATACTGGAGGGGATTGGTGCACAATTCCAGTATGGGGAGAATCTCGATTCCTGAATAGTGAGAATCTTGATTCCAAGTTGATGGGTCATGATTCTATATTTTTAGGAATCACGATTCCAATCTCATCGAATTCCGATTCCAGAATCTACTGAACTATGTGGGGTCATGTGTGATTCCATATACGTATGAAACTCAATTCCAACATGAAGGGACATCGATTCTTATAAATAGGAAAAAACACAACTCCTATTTTATCAGAGCATGATTTCAATATCGTGCGAATCATATTTCGTAAATCTGAATCGTACAAACAACGATTCCAAGATTCAAAAATTTCTGATACACGCGATTACGTAAATTCCGATTCCTATAAGGATTCGGAATCACAGGCGTTTCCAACAACTATAGTGTAAATGCCTTTGTCTTTTAATAAAAGGGTTGTATTAGAGCACTCTTACACATGAAGTATTTACTTAATGTACTCAACATTTTGGACAATCATTACCCTTGCTTTTGTGATACAAAATTTTGGGAACATTTTTGGTCATTAGAAGCAGCAGCATAGATATTTCTATTAGAAATATTACTAGTGAGTGGTGTCACACCTCAAGTGGATGGTGTCATTCTCCACTATTGTTAATAAATACTTCTCTTTTTATCAAGAACTCTACTTTACCCTTCATTAATTACCTAAAATACCCCTACACATAAAAGTTACTATATTGTGGGGTAAGGGTATCAAGTTTCCAAGAATGTTGAGTACATCAAGGAAAGACTCCATATGTAAGAGTACTCTAACACCCTTAATAAAATTATCAACCACACCTTTACATATTTTATAGGCATGAAATAAAGGGGTTACTAAACTAATTTACTTGTGCACACCCTTTCTAAATATAACATACAGGATTTTGAACCATATTTAAACCAAGAAATCCTATATATATATATATATATATATATATTATATATATAATATACTATANAACAACACAACAACGTACACACCAACTACACGTACTTACTTTCCTTTTTACTTTTT